CATATTTATTTATATATATATACTGTATATATATATAAATAGATAGATGGATAGAGAGAGCTCTGTTTTCCAGCCTGAGTCTATTTAATTTATTGTTTTGGTTGTGTGTGATTTAATTAATTTATTATAATTTAATTAATTTGTTATATTTATTATATATAATTTATATATTTGAATATTGTTTCACATTTCATTTTCAATGTTGAATGTTCAATAAAAAGTTCTGTTTGAAAGGATGTACTTGAATTATTATTATATATTATCATTATGTCACGGGTCTAAAATGGTCTTACAACAGTGCCGACAATATTATCCTTTATGGAAATAATTTCCAGGAAAAGTTATCGTCCAACAAAATTAATTATCGTGAAAGGCCTAGGAGGAAGTCTTATTGTCGACTTTGCAGATTCACTGCATTCGCGGGGTGAGGAAGAAATCCTGCACCAACAATCATTTGACATGTTCAATTTAATGGAACAGACCTTCAAACCCAAGTTAAGAGAAAATAAGAACCACCAAACGGCAGAAAAAACTTGGAGCGGCTTGTCACATCAGAAGGGCTGTTCCACCTTAAAAGCCAGCCGTCCTTAAGCTTGTGCTGGTATTGTGGCTGCTAGCTTTGAGGCTTACCAGAGCCCATCAAATATTTAAAAGGATTTTAATTTAAAGTTGCTCATATCACATGGGGTCTAACTGCCTTTATTGAGACACAAGTTGGGACCATCACGAATGAGGTATTTACTGACTTATTTGATGTCATTGAACAAAACATGGAAATCGCTCAAACTTGTGTTAACCACCAAAAACACGTTAAAGACTGTTGACTTAGAGATTAGGGAAACAGAAGTAGTCAAATTAACTCATTTCCGTTTTTGACGACTCATTCCTGCCACAACTCTATAGGGTAGAACGACGGCCCAGGTCATTCAACCTAAAGTGAGCAAGGGGCTGAAGTTGTTGCTAACTTTGACGCTTACCCTTTCATTCTAATTTTCAGGTTTCATAGTTACATTAGCTGATTAGCTGGCCGGCTCTGTTCTGAATGGTCAACTGCTTAGAGATGTCCCGGCCCCTATTCTATAATGTACAATGTGTTGGAGCGCTAGCTAATAGAAGCGCAATTGCTAAATAGAACTAACACTAACAACACTAACATAGCTTTTACAATACGTCACCCAATGAAGATCCAAGTGAGGGAATTTATCTGGCACTCTGTTGGTTTCAGGGCTGCCCCCAATTAGTTGACTAAACGTTAGTCTGCTAAAATAGTCTTAGTCGTCAATTTTTTTTATTAGTCTATTAAACTAACAAGCACTGGGCAGCCTGAGATTGAATCGGCTGAATTGACGACTATTGGTTGACTTGAACAATCTTTATTCGAGAGCAGCCCTAGTACATGAGGTTATGAAACCAAAGAAGGAGGACATTAAATGCAATCTCTACGATGTATCTAAAAGTAAAGTGTGGAAGCCCACCATCACAAGGTCAAATGTTGTTTTCCTAACTGAAGACCCACTTTGGCATCAAGAGCAAACTGTCTTTTCCATGACACGTTTGATACACGACCAAACGGAACGTTACCTCTCACTTTGAGAGAGACTCATACACCCACATAAACAAGCTGCTTTTAGTGTTAGACAGGGATGAGTGTGTTGTATTTACTTGGATGTTTTTAGGCACCACAGTGCACCACTGATCCATTAATGCATTAATGAAGGTCTAATCCTCTGCTGAAAAAAAATAAAAGCACAGAAGCCGCTGTTTCATAACAAAGCAACTGTGTGTCCTGAGCCCTCTGTGTGGCCGTCGCCCAGCTCGGCTTCAAATCTGGCTTTAGGGCCCGCCCAACCTTTAGCTGCAGCTTTCTCCACAGTCTGAGTTGGACCGCTCTAGATTCCATTTCCTGGTTTATACCCTCTGTGACCCGTTTACTTATTTGTAGGATTGCACCAATGCACATTTCGCAGCAAATATCAATGTTGAGAATATAAATGTGGAAGATGGCAATGTTTTTCTCTAAATGTTGTTGTTGTTGTTATTGATTCCACTTTTGTGCCATGGAAACAAACACATCTTTGATCTAGCACAGATTCATAAAAATAACTTTAAAAGCCTTTTTAGTCTGCTATACAAATACCCACTCCATAAGAAGATTTGAGCATTCAGTGATGGTGTTCAACTCTGTGTTCAACGGATTAAAGTGACCTGTATAACTAATTTATAGGAGAATTATTATGCTTTTGGGGGTTTTCCCTTACCAGTAGTGTGTTACCTAGGTTTTAGTGCATGTTAATGGTCTGCAATCCCAAAGTTCCCTCCATATGTAGGTAAACTTCATACTAATGAATAATATAGTCGATTATAAATGTATGCCACTTAAAAAGGTGGTTTAGAGCCAGTGTGGTGGCCAGAGAACAAGAAGGGACACATAATTTACTGTACATGTTATACTGGGCCGCTGTGGCTCAGTGGTTAGTGTGCTGGACTTCGAATCAGGGGATAGCAAGTTTGAGTCCCACTGCAGTCAGCATGTCGTCGTGTCCCTGGGCAAGACACTTCACCCCAAATTGCTCCTGAGGGGATTGTCCACAGCACTGATTGTATGTAAGTCGCTTTGGATAAAAGCATCTAACAAATGACATGTCATGTAATGTAATGTTATAAAACCAAATATACACAACTATGAGGAAGAACAAAATTATTCTTGCAGGGTTGTTCTGCGTCACTGATATACATTGCCCCAGAGAAAAGAAAGTAATGCGATACCCATACAGTATGTGTTAATGTAACTGCACAGCTTGGGCATTAATGTAACGTGACTGCTGCAGTTTACATTTATAAAGTATTCCCTCAGTTGATACTAATCTGTACCCCTCATAGATTGACTATAAAGGCACGCTACTTCCAAGAAATTTAACATAACCTGGTCCAAGCAAGGTATAATTGCAGCATGGCTTTCTGCACAACATAACTGGCTAACTCTCTAATCTGGCCTCCTGCTTTTCACTTAAAAGAATGTCTGGCCTAATTATTCTGAATATATCAATAAATATATGTCATACTCTGCTAAAACATGTTGAGCCAATGGCTTATGCTTGTTATACAAGATGTATAAACTGAGAAAAAATAGCCAGTGTTTTAAAGGTTTAATAGTTGATCCGCTCTGTTTTTAAATTCTGTTGGTTGGCCTGTTACAGCAGCCGTCAGGACTATCAGGCTTACAGCGTTGCTTCGCCTGCTTTACCCTCGATGGTCCCTGATGTTTGGAGCGGCCGTTCTCCAATTATCACACTTCCAGACCCGAACGTGCCTTGTCTTTAAACAAATGTGTAGAAAGTGTGCAGATCCAAGTTTAGGAAAAACAATTTCTTAACAAAGAGCGTTATATCGCCTCCGTCCGAGTTCTCAGTATCTTCAGAGTGACGAGGGGGTGTTGATTAACATCACAACGTGTTTTTTCAAGATTATTCACACATTATTTTCACTTACCTTAACCATACAGTCTTTTTTTAAAGCTTTCCACTTCCTCTTAGTCAGATCTTCTTGTCTAACATTCCCAGTTAAAGCTGTTATGAAGAAACCTCTACCTATCTTCTAGCTGTTATTTAATTCAACACTTTTATGTTGTCTGTTTGGCGTGTCCATGCCTCTTGGCGCTTCAACACATTGTACGTGATTGGCTAAGGGGTGGCACTTAAGCGGTTGACCAATCATAACAGAGTACATTACCTCAAGTACTCTACTTCAGTACAATTTTGCGTTACTATTACACAGTGAGTATTTTCATTTTATGCAACATTATATATCTGCTCTATATTTTCAAGGTCATTTTGTTCCTTTGCTCCAGTACAAACAGTATATTTGGTAGATTTAGTTACTTTACTGTAGGTTCAGATTATTAATCTAATACAAAAAAAGTGTGATCAAAATACATTCACAGATAGAATAGGCACATTAATGTATCAATCCAGGTATTTCATATATATTCAGAAATGGCCCATTACACATAACAACTACTTTGTAAGGGGCCCTATTATACTAATGCTCAAGTTCATATTTGTATGTTGTGCCTCTGTGACATGTTTACATGCTTTAATGTTGAAAGAGTGTTTAATTGTTCTCGTCTCGAAACGGTCACAACAGAGCAGGCCAGCTAGACTGGGCTCTGGTTTCAGACAGAGGGTGAAAAGAGGTGCTGCGGCACAGGCAGTATGAGAAAAATAAAGAGCTTTTTGAACATTAAAGCATGGAGACATGTCACATTAGAGGCACAACACACAAATATGAACCTGAAAATGTGCACAATAGAGCCCTCATTTAGATTAATTTCCAAAAGGATGAGAAAGAGGGTGATTATAGGACAATAGAGCCTTTCAACAAACCAATCAATATCAAGTTAAGCGAGACAAACTTTGCCTACTGTAGGTTATGACGACACAATGTAGGTCTGTTGTGTTATTTAGTGCGCTTGCTTTGGATAAAACTTTCTGCCAATTCAATGTGAAGTGTATTTGAGTGAACCCAGTAAGAGGGATGCATACTAGTTTTTTATTGATTGTTTGGACCTAAAGAAAATGTGACACACTCACATTAAACCTTGTCTATACTGAACTCCATATATAATACTCTGGCTCTGAGAAATGTGATATACATCCAAATCTAATTTAGTGAGATGGGCACACACAATGAGATATGTTCTCTGCCGCTAACACTCATATAGGTCGCTGCAGTGTCTACACATTGTGCCTTAATGCGTCAGGCAAGGCTGCAGCATGCTGCAAATATATTGGGTCATTTGAACAAAAAAAACGTGTCCATATTAAGGAAATATGTCATTAACTGAAGGGCATTCTGCAATTTAGGTCAGAGTATCTATTTACCTGCTGTCCTCTTTACAAGTTTAAGTTTGATATATTCCTACCGAGTTATTTCGATTTGTTATGAGTTTATTTGTCACACATCATTTGGGATCAAAAACACTGCAAACACAACACTGCAAGACGCTCAAAACGGAAACAGGGACACTAAAAAGTGATGCACACATCTGGGACCGGAGTGTTTGTTGACGTTCAGGGATTATAAAGCTGGCAAATTGTAACTGTTGGCAGAGTCAGTCTGTTTCATAATTCTATGTGTTCTATCAGTATATTTGAAATGATTAGGTTAGCTACGTAAGCTAGCTAGTTTACAGCAGATATTCAATAATGTAAGAATGAATTATGCAATCACATTTTTTAAATAAACCAATCAAATGTACATTTGAGGGCAAAGTTGGCCAACTTTATAATGCCCAAACGTCAAAAAGCGCTCCGGTCCCAGCTGTGTGCATCACTTCTTAAGGCCCTGACACACCAAGCAGCCACCAGAGAACTCGCCGACGCCGACTGTTGCGTCGGCGTGTTCTCCTGCGTCTTGGCCATGTGTCGCACTGGAACACACCGCAAAGACTTCAGCCGAGCACGTACGAACTGCACATGCGTGAATGGCAATAACTCTCCTTACCAGCAGGCGGCGGTAGTGTGTATTCGTCATTCAAAAGAGGCAACAACCGGAAGACAGAGTAGAAGAACAGACTGCGAGATATAAACAAACAACAAATAGCGTGTGCGTTCCATTTTCACTATTTCCATCGAAAACATGTTTTGTGCGGTACTGGACCTATCAGCCATTGGAGTTTTGCTTGTGGAAGACATTCTCAAGCAACCGTTTCGCTTCTCATGCACTGATTCGCTAGCTGTACAGCCAATCAGAGTGATTTCTTTGTCCGACTGCCTGTGGCCGACGCATTCAACATGTTGAATCGGCCATGAAAGGCCAGGTAAGGCGTGTCACGGCCGACGGTGCGGGACACACCAAATTGAGTTTGGGCGACAGGGCACGCTTCGTCGTCCGACTAACGAAAACGGACGATTTCGGCCTGGTGTGTCTCCATTTCCGTTTTTGTTTTGAGGTACTTGCAGCGCGTGTTTATTTGCAGCGTTCTTTTAGTAAACGCTGCGCATGCCTTTTCAAGTTGGTGAAGATGCTCCCTCATTTGGATGTGTTTTGGCACATTTGTGTTTTTTATATTTGCATCATCTTTGAAAGTGCTGTGCGTGTTTTGTGCCGCTATAGCGCGTTTGCACCTCTCATCCACCGTACAAAACTCCCAAGTGTTGGAAAATGTGAGATTCTCTGCATCTTCACTATTATTAGAGAGTTTGCGGCTCCCCTTGTTGTCGGAGTGTTAGTCAAAAAAGCTCTGTCTCCCATATCTGTCTAGTGCTCGCAGGATTGCACAATCATTATTTGAAGTCTTGTGTGAACATAAAAGTCTGCTCATAAAAGTTCCCTGCAGTGAAAACTACCTAAATAAACACAGCCTGTGAAAAATAGTTCATCTACCCTTTCTCAATATGGAGGCCAGGGACAGGGAGGCATTATAGGGAGAGGATACCTGAGGAAGGGACGTTGTGTTGTGGAAGAGCGCAGCCATTTGCTGGATGTTTCGGTCCAGAGTGCATTACAGCAGCATGAGTGGATGCATTTTAAGCAAGACCTCTGACACTGGTAATGTTACCACCTTGCTCTACTCACTGGGAGTGGGACTAATAACCCCAGTGCCTTGTCACTCACCACAATCACGGCTGTCAGTCAGATGTTAAGCCGCTTGTTGTAAAAAAAAGCATCATTAATACTTTAGATTCTCTGTCGCTTTTGCAATACTGGCACTCTCTTACATTCTTTGTTTGGCTGCCAGTGGTGCTTTCGACCTCCAGTCTTCACGCAGATATTCGATCAACTCAAATATTTTATATATATCTTGCATAATGAAAACAACTGTAAATAATGTGTCTGCTATTCTGGGATTTACACCCTACTTTCATGTGGCAGTCTAATCTAAGTTTGATCATATATCCAAATATTGAATGAGCTTTATTCATTTAATTCACCTTATCTATATATATATTGAAAATAGACTATATGTAGTCAGTATGACATTACCCACTGGTTTCGATTTGCGTTTGTAACCTCTAGTTTGTTATTATGGAACCATAAAGGACCAGAGAAGATTGAGCTAAGTGCAACCAAACGTTGGACAAGACATTTTAGGATACTAAAAAACCTTAACCGTCGATCGAATGGTTTGAAACCAAACCAACCTTTAGTGGCTACCTGTCACAATTGAGCCATTTCCAAAAGCATACCATGCTTTATTGCTTATTTTGCTCCAAATGGAACCATCATTTACAAAAACATGCTGTATTGAAGAAGGCTTGAAACTACTTTGGACCACAAACTCATAAGGACATTTTTTGCAGGATAAATCCAAGTGAGAAATATGTTCATTTTCTCCTAGACTTCTATTCAATATGCGTTATAAAATATGCACTGAAAAGCTTAATTATGGGTAAAAATGTACACTTGTTGACACATCAACATTTAAGGATTCAAAATATAATTTTTGTAATGGCACCAATGTCTAAAAATGTCAAACAATACCCAATTAGATTCTTTATGTCGATTTAGCATTTTACCACTTCCGGTTCCATCATCTCAAGTCAACATTTCTTTTAATGTGTTTGTGGTTAGAAGCCTGTAAAAAAATTGTAAATTCTACAAGCTGAAGAATTTGTTCTCTGACATAAAAAAGCTCTGTAAATACTCCGCTTGCGAATGTCTGAATTTCTATGGGTCATACAACTGTGACTAAATGGGACTACTGAATGTCATTACGCCAACACCAGCCCGCCTTTAGCTTTGCGGTGGTGTTGCGTAGCCATGCCACAATGATGTATTTGCGTTGCACATCAAAAAAGTCTTAATATGTGAAGAGTATCCAGCTGAACATAACGTGTCATGAACATGTGTTTGCCACAGAGTTTATTTTCTTCCATATACGGAAATCCAATGGGGAAATCCAATCTTATTTTGATGAAGGAATCCCTTGCCATGCTAACTTAGTGCTTCGCTTCACAGGGAAGTGAACCTTTATCGTCTTCATAATAACCAATCAACCTATGAAAAACAAAGCACTCCATTTGTAACATATCGGGAAACCGTAGTTAACCTTATCTTTTTTCCTTGTGGATTAATTGTTTCGAACATTTATTTCTGACTGGGGTTTAATGATCCTAATTGCCGTTTGGTGAAACAAAATGGAAAGCTCTCGCAGGGTTTTGTTTCTCACTGAAGATCCGAGGTTGGAGAGTGTCCTTTTCATTTATTGTCTCATAATGTGGGCGTACTGAAGCCCTTTGAGACTTTAACCAGGATAAAGGGCTATGCAAATAAAGTTGACTCAGAGGGAGTGGATGTGTTTAAAGCTCCCACTCTTCATACCGTTCACTGTTGTGGTTTTTATTTATGTAAAGCTTGTCGTATGTCTCCTTTGAGTTGTGTAGAGATTCTATATTTATTTAGAGGGGAAACTCATCCTTACTGACATGTACTCCCTCTCTGGCTTTTTTTTAAATCAGCTTTGCCTTTTTGTCACACGCTGAGCTCACCATCTGCTGCTCCTGCAGCATCATCAACGTCCTTAAAAAGTCATTGCTGTATTTTTAATTATCTTCGTTTAATCACCCCTCTCTTCAGGGAGATGAAAGGTTATTAAAAAATGAGGCCGCATGGGGGACATATTAGAAGAGCAGCAGAATACTGTATGCTAATATAGACAGCCATGACTGTTACGTCTAGGTCCTGTTGTCCTTGTGCTATGTGTTTTATCATTAACTTTTAGCATTTATTCATGATTAATCATAAGTTGAACATTCTTGTATTTTATTGGAAGATAAAATGAATACATGTGTTGTGTTGTAAAAAGAAAATGCATGAAAAATTGGAAGATAAATCAGTTAGGTTTACTTCATTACAACATGATTTATGAATTATTGTTGTAAAGTCAAATCATTTTTCTCATAGCAAAAGCATTGATAAAGCCGCTTTCAGGGAGAGCAGCTGTGATGTTCTGCTTTGGTTTATTGGCGCGTGGTTCGGCAAATTTCCGTGTTGGTATTACAGGAGGATGTTAAGGTCAAATTTGGTAATGTGATTAATTTGCGTACATTTGTATTACGGTTTCCAGATTGTTTTGAAGTGTGTTAACAGGAGGGTTCATTCAGGGCTATTAGAGTGTTCATGCTGGGTAGTTGATTTTGTTCCAAAAAAAGATGCGCTGATACATGTACTGTATATAGACGCCTCTTCCCAATGTGAGTCAACGGGAAAAAGTCCCAATGATGTCACAGACTGACACAGGATTTGTATTACCATCGTTTGGCCCCTACGGACATTTGCTTCACCATCTGGCCCACTTCCTTGGGGCTTGCTTACACCCTCTGTCTTGAAGCAGAGCCCAGTCTGCTCAGGCATGGGCAAACTAAGCCATATACGGCCCGTTGGGCTTTTGAAGCCGGCCCCCCGAATATTGGTACAACATTTTCCAAATTATAGTAAAGACCGCATTCATTTAGCCTTTTTCCTGCAATACCCGGCATTTCAGTTGATCCCACTAGATGGCGCACTCTAGACACAATTCACCTTTGCTGGAGTCTGGTCTATTCTCTGGCCCCACTCGGCAACCCGGCAAGATCCAAGAACCAAATACTTAACGCTTACATTGGAGGGGGTCGAGATTAACCTGAGCAAAAACAGTTCATGGCGAGTACGGCGAATACAAGTTGTAACAAGCAGTAGCGCTGAGCAAAGTGACTATAACGCGACCACACACTTATAAAAAACACTTATATAAAGTCAGGCAACACTAACCAGGCTTAGCTGTGATCTGTTAAATTTTACCCTTACTTTAATAACCCATGCCGTTCACTGTTATTGATCAATTGCGAAGAGCAGACGTCTTCCTTTTTTTTGTATTATTGCATCTATCGGATGGAATCAATACTGGGCTTACATCGTGGCACATCTCACAAGTAAAACGATCATAACGAAAACAAGCCGCATACAAATATGCGTGTAGAAACGGCTTATCCACAATATGCATAGCACGGCATAGATTGTTGAGATGTATGTGCAATATACCTAACAAGGCAACGTCAATGGCTGTGTCTGACAACAGCCGTGTATCACATTAAGCCAGGTACATACAACTGAGGTATTGTCACGTGAGGCGATATATATATCAAACGAGGCACAATACGCTCCACAGGGTGGAGCTGCAACCTAGCCCTCAAACACCCTTAGTAACATCTCCCTTCCTTTGTTAGAGTAACACACAGGATCATACTGCCTTTAACTGTTGACCTTCAATCAGAACATTAATCAATGCGATTTCACAACAAATCAGTGGCACATAGCCAGAGACATCTTNGTAATGCAGCTGAACCACATTAATAAACAATGCACCACGGCACTCTGGAGAAAGTTACAAGGTTGGAGAAGTAGTTCTTTAATTTAATCTGGCTTCGTATAATTAAAAACTACCAGACGCAGTCCTCTATTGATGTTGTTGTGAGCGGTGTTGCGGAGAAAATCAGCGACGTAAAACGCTGTGTGGGTCATAAGAAGGCACGTAAACGGTTACGTCATGACGCAAACAATGACGCAATAATTCACCTTTGAACCTGCATCTGTAACAATGAGTGGACCAAAGAAAAGAAAAGTCAACATTGAGTGCCGAGTGTATAATGAGGAGTGGACAGCTAAATATTTTTTTTAGCAATCTGCTACTGGCCCTGCCCGTCTCTCAAATTTAAAACTCATTGTGGCCCGAGCAAAAACATTTGCCCACCCCTGGGTTAGCTGGTCAGCTCTAGCTGGTGATTATTGAACTGCTTAGAAATGCCCCTTCCTTCGTGTACAATGTGTTGGAGCGTGGCCAATAAAAGTACAAGCTCTTAATTCAGGTAGGAGTTTGGACAAGATTGCTATATTGCATTCTGTTTGTTTTTCATATTTTAGGATGAGCAATATCTTGTCACATGTTCAGCAGGACGTGCTCAACATATATTTGTAGCAAAAGTGGTTGTGAAGCAAAAGTCAATATCCTTCGCATTCATCCTAAATTGTCTGTGGCAGTGTGGAAAAATCTATGTAAGAATCAATGTATCTTTCTTCTTAGGTACTGAAGGGATTTACAACTTCCAAAAATGTTTTCCCTTTTTTTTTCTTTTTAAAAAAGATTCTACTGTACTTTTATGATATTTATCCCTCAGACCAAGTTCATCATTAAGTAAAGATTTATTTATTTTAAAAATATACGTTTTTCAATGTTATTTTGTGTGCAAAGTATTTTTGGAAATTGGCATGTTTTGGGAATACAAAGGCAGTAAGCCCAAAAATGCTTTCATCCAATAATTTGCCCCATTGCCTTTGTCATATCAGACTGGAGATGACCCTGAAATAAGCAGCCATCCTATATGTACTTTAAGCAGCCATATTATGCTTTTTGCCTTCTCATTCATACCATTCACTTTGATGTCTCACTATGGGATGCGCCTCCCTGCGTATACCCCAGAAGCATCAATCTCATTACTCCAATCCTGATTGGCTGGTAAGTGCGCCAAGCTATTCAGGACAATACCTTTTCTATATATATATATATATATATTTACATCTGCAACAACATAGATCATACAGATCTGGTATTAACATTTAGAATTTCTAAAGGAAATGTTCCAAACTTGTCACTCAAGCTGTTATCAAAGGAAAGTCATGTATCTATGTCAGCCTAAATGTGCCACCACTTCCTCTTCCTCCTCTACAGCCTGTCATTGACAGTCAGAAAGTCACATGAGATTAGAGAGGGACGCAGCAGAAATATGTAGCGTGAAGAGGTGATGTATCTTCAAACTGAATACTGACGCACAAACACTCCTCCTTTTCCGTGTGAGAATAAGGCTTGTTAGCATTCATGTGCTGAGTTCCAGTCTCTCACACGTAGCAACGTCCTCCATTATTGAGCAGTTGTAAATGCTTTGAAGTTGTGCTGTTTGGGGAGTTTTTGTTCCAAAACTAGGAAGCAGGAGCAGGAACGTGAGGCTTTGAAAGGCAGAAATCTCAGTAGCTGGTTCAGTAATTGCTGTGCCATATTGATCAACATCCTAGAGTGTTTACTCTATTCAACGGTTAAAGGATGATTCAAGACTTGCAGTAAATAGACAATACTGCAGCAGTTAACACCATCAGCCTGCTCTGCTCTGTCATTGAAAACAAGGTCAAGGTGACAGAGAATCGAATTGACGCTCTGCTCGACCCCACTGATTCCCCCAGGAAGTTTTACACCATCACCACCACCACCACACAATTACACCAAAGGCTCCGGCTCTCGTCTCATTAGCATTCCACCTCGTGGGTGATGCAAAGCTGCTTCATCTAATGCTTTTAATGGCCAGAATATATTCTGCGTAATTAAATTAATGTGCTGCAGTGCTTCTTTGGCCTGATAACGTAAGAACAATTTCATGGCAGCATCAGCATCAAATTGGTTTGTGAAAGGCTGTTTTATTTTTTTTATTGGGATCAGAGGCAAGTTTTTTAAATGTCCCATACATGAAGCATCTGTTCTGTAAAAGCATGAGCTCATCACAGAAGAACAGGAGCAGAAGGACTAACACTGTCATATGAAACATGGTTACAGATTTAAAACAGGTTTATTCAGTATGACCCACATGATAATTTTGGTTGTTTATTACAAAAGTAAAACGAAAGAAATCAACACAATTCAAACAATACATTTTTTAGAAAGGGTGGACAAACTGAAAACAATAATGAAGTAGGGAGTTTTCATAGCAGATTAAATGCTTCATGTAAAACTTCAATAATTGTACAAATCAAAATCTACTAGATATGTAATTTATAGGGCGGTGCTTGAATGGGTCCTTAACCCGCAAAATAGTTAGCATTTAAACCCTTCCAGTTTCCCCTCTTAAGACAGTAGTCTTAAGAGGGAAACTGGAACTATTTTGGTGGCATGTCACCATTGCTTAGCTAAAGGATGCTAATGTTCGGTGT